CCCTAGTTAAACGATTTGTTTTTTCCCTTCCCCTCCACAAATTATACCAACATCAAATACAGTGAAAGCAGGGGTTATACAGTGGGGGAGGGACATACAAAGCAACATAGAAATCATCTTATAAATATGTTAGAAACAATTGCATGAAAGAAAAAATACCATTTGAATACTTATCTTGGGGTTCATTCCCCTAACATCAACTTGTCATTATGAAAAACGTATGTGCTGAAAAAATTTGCAATATATATGTATAGTGTAATAAATAATTCTCAAGCAAGAAATGTAAGCCCATGTCTAAGAGGACATTGCCTTAACCAGAAAGTGCTAATATGTGTCTTTTCTTGACCCAAAATCCCTTCCTCCATCCCAGAAATGTTCATTAGTATGAGTTCTAAAGTCTTTATAATTTTTTATTAATACTGTTACCATCTTGATGCACATTCATAAAGCACAATTTAGTTTTATAGTAATAGGGAATTTTACAAAAATAGATACTTGGGACTTTTGGATTTTCTCCATTACTTCAATCATCATTCAACCAAGTGTTGCACATTCTCTATGTGTTGGGGTAGTGTCCGCATTCTTTTGTTCTCTTATGATTCGATAGAATACAAGGAATTATTTTGATTGTTTATATATGCTGAGAGTTGTTTTGCATCCTAAAGCATGATAAAATAGCATGTATTTGGAAGAAAGTTACATGGTTTACTGAGTAGAATATGTATTATGGAACTGTTGTATAAAATACTATGTAGATGTTTTTCAAGCCCATTTTGCATATAATATCATTTTGTCTGAGGTTTCTTTTCTGTGTGTGTGTTTGTAGGGATTTTTTTTTCAGGAGGGAGCAGGTCTAGATAATCTACCTATTGTTAAGAGGAGAGTTTTGAAGTCACCACTATCATTGTGTTTGGGGCTACCTATCATTTTAAGTTCAATAGTATTTATTTAATGAAGCTAGATACACCACCAATATTCGGCTTGTAGATGTGAGCAATTGGTATTCATTCTTGACAGATTGTTCCCTTTATTAATATGAAGTGACATTCTTTGTCTCTCTTAACCAATATTGAAGTATATTTTATCATGTATAAGTATAGCTTCTTTTGCCTGAGTCTGGGGTTCATTTACTTGGTAGATCTTTGTCTAATCTTTCACTCTAAGCCAAGTTTTGTTTTTCTTAGTGAGAAAAACTAGATTGGCTAGATTGTGCTTTTTAATCTGCCCTTTTATGTCTTTTGACTAGAGATTTGAGACCATAACTATTCAGTTTTATTATTGACAGGTACAGAGTCCTGTTTGCCATTTTGTTGTTTCTGCATTGTTTGGATGTTATTTTATTTGAACATCTGGTGGGATTTATTTTCTCCTTAGTTTTTTTTCTTGCATTTTTCATCTTTTGTGTATAGGATTCATTTGAATATCTTTTATAGTGATGGTTTAGTGGTCATGAATATATTTGGTTTCATTTACCATTAATCTAGGATGGTGGTTGTTTGCTTTTCAGAACTTCAAATACATCATTCCCAGCCTTCCTTAAAGCTGTCTGGTGAGAAATCTATTAGCAGTGATAAGCTTACTATTGTATATAACTTGGTTCTTCTCTCTTTCAACTTTCAATACTTTTTCTTGTCCCACACACTTAATATTTTACCCTTGTCATGCCTTCTGGCCTTGTCTTTTGAGTGTCCTAAAGCCCTCTTGTACCTGTATGGCTGCTTCTTTCTCAAGGTTTAAGAAATTTTTCATCTACTGTTTTATTGAATATGTTTTCTATACCTTTAGCTTTTACCTCTTCTTTTATGCTCATGATTCTTAGGCTTGGTCTTTCAATAGTGTCTGAGATGTTTTACATGTTCCACCTGTATTTCTTAATTTCTGCTCCATTCTTTTCTTTTCTTTTTGTTTTTTGTCAATGTGATGTACAGAGGGGTTATGGTTACATTAGTAAAGTAGTAAGTATATCTCTTGTCAAACTTGTTACCCCTTTCTTCATTTTTCTCTACTTTCCCTACTTTCCAAACCCTGCCTCCAAGTTGTACAAATCATTTCCAACACATTGTCTTGTGTATAAGCTGTCCTCTCTGTTCTTTATTTGACTATCTTAGTGCATCTATGTTAATTCTCAAGCTCTGATGTTCTGGCTTGCTTTAATTTTATCCATACTACTAGAGACTTTCTACAGAGGTTTTGCTTTTTTGTGAGGTTTTGTTGAGTTTTTATTTTTTTTATTTATTTTTATTGTGAAAATACTATACAGAGGGGTTACAATTACATGGGAAAGATAATGAGTACATTTCTTATCAAGCATTGTAGTCTCCTCCTTTGTTTCCCCTTCCCATCCCTTCCCATCCTCCCCCTGCCCCCCCACCTAATCCTCTCCACTCCCCCTTCCTCTCCCCTCCTCCACCGCACCAAAGTTGTAAAGTTCATTTTCGACATAACAACTTGCACATCTCATTGTTGCAATGGGTCCACCTGTATCCTTATTTAAATGATTTGTTTTTCCCCTTCCCTTCCACAAATTATACTGACATCAAATACAGTGAAAGCAGTGGTTATACCGTGGGGGGGGGGAGTTTTTATTTTTTGACTTGTTGAGATTTTCATTTCCTGAATTTCAGTTTGATTCTTTTTCAGGTTTTCTGTATCCTTACCAAATTAATCTGTATTGGCTTTCTTACATCGTTCAGCTTTCCTCTTCATATAGTCCTTTGTATTTATTCACTCCTTTGTAGCTATAAATCTTTATTTATTTATATTTACTCTGAAGTCTATACTATCTAACTCTTGTTTTCTGAAATTGCTTCTTGGTAATGAATATGGCTAGTGAGGCCTTAATTTTCAGACCATCATGAGTTGTGACGCAGTCCCAAAGCCTCTCTGGTCCATGGCCTCCTGCCCTCAATCATTGTAAACTGATTGCTTGGTAGTAAGAGCTCTCTACAAGCATAAGCTTAGATCTTTTATTTCCTAGAATGACTCTCAAGATATGAAGTTGCTCTCAACATTCAATTTCCCTCTCCATTACCACTTCTGACTTCCCAATCAACTCTTCTCACTCAGGGAAGGGGAGATAATTGTGGCAATCACATAGGTAAATATGAGCAAAGGCCCTCCTAGACATATCTGAAAATGTTATAATGAAATAGACTTCTTTAACTGACTATGGCAGTATATGCCTATAATCCCAGCAATTCAGGGATAATAAGGTCCATGCTAATCTAGGGAACATTCCAAGACTTTGTCTCCCATACACAAAAAGAATAAAAACTATTATTTTTTAAAATAATATATACTAATAAAATGCTAAAAACTATAAACCAAACTAAAAACAACAAAATATTAGAAGAGTAATTGTGCTAAAATTGGAAAGAGGATATGGCATCATGTTCAGAAAGTTTATAAATTAATGAACAGTAAGCCAAAAGGGTGACCCTCTACTCTATGGCAAGCATCCATAATTTGTTATACTGTGGTGAAAAAGACAGGCACTAGATTGGGATCTTGGTTGTCTTAGACTATGCTCTCTAGAATAGATAAATAACAAGTAGTTTACTTGCCTATAATCCTAACTACTCAGGAGACTGAGATCTGAGGGTGACAATTCAAAGCCAGCATGGGCAGAAAAATCCAAGACTCATAGCTCCAATTAAGCATCCAAAAAAGCCAGAAGTGGAGCTGTGGCTCAAGTGGTAGAATTCTAGACTTGAGCAAAAAAAGCTGAGGGACAACACCCAGGCCCTCCCTGAGGTTAAACCCAGGACCTGAACAAAACATACAAAAAGTAGTTTACTTTGGAAAAGATCCTAGAAAGAATTGTAAGGAAAATTGTAAAGTGATATAGGAAAAGGAAGATATTGTTACAGAGTGATTTAAAGAGCAGAACCCTTCAGGAGATAACTGGACTTCAGTCCATCTAACCACCTGCAAAGCCTACTCCATCAAGGGAGATATCCAATGTGCTCACGAGCTTCTTACACTGGTTGAGCTCTCCTAGAGGCTTTACTCATGCCAATAGCATGTTTTTCAACCTTCATGCAACAGGTTTCAGACACTGGCTCTATGAATCCATATTTCTGTATTCGAATGAAGAAGACTGAGGGGACACAGCTGACACACATCAAATCATGCATTATGATCTTTTCATTATTAAGAAATGAGTCACAAGCCGGGCACTGGTGGCTCACGCCTGTAATCCTAGCTACTCAGGAGGCTGAGATCTGAGGATCGCGGTTCAAAGCCAGCCCTGGCAGGAGAGACCGTGAGACTCCTATCTCCAATAAACCACCAGAAAAAAAACCGGAAGTGGTGCTGTAGCTCAAGTGGTAGAGTGCTCGCCTTGAGCTGAAGAGCTCAGAGACAGTGCCCAGACCCAGAGTTCAAGCCCCACGACCAACCAAAAAAAAAAAAAAAAAAAGAAATGAGTCACAAGAAATTAGCCCATAAAGACAAGAGATAGAGAAGGGAAAATAAGGAGACATAATGTCTTTATATTTGGATGCTTGCAAAATCCAGATTTATTCAAAATGTAGGAATAACAGCATTGGAGGAAGAAATATTCCCCTAGAGGTATATTTGGTCACATGATAACATGATTTAGTAGCACAATCGCGGACAGATATGTGAGAAAACTCAAAACTTCTGTCCATGTTGGAGAATGACAGTCACCTTGCAGGAGAGGGGACAGTGTATTTAGAGGCCCATATGAACCCCCAGGGGAACTGAGATGTTACAACTGGCCTCCCATGATTCAACTTATAGGTGGTTTATATCAAGAATGTTGGCTACTGAAGACAAGAAGAATGTAGGTCAGAGTGCTCAGCAGCAAGATCCACCACAGCAGCTGGGGAGGTAGCAGCTGGGGCGGCAGCAGGGCTGGCAGCACACAGACTGGCAGCAGGGCCTGCAGCAGCTGGACACACAGCAGCTGGGGCGACAGCAGCTGGGCTGGCAACAAGGCCTGCAGCAGCTGGAAATGCAGCAGCTGGGGCGGCCGCAGGGTTGGCAACAGGGGCGGCAGCAGCTAGAAATGCAGCAACTGGGGCGGCAGCAGGGTTGGCAACAGGGGCGGCAGCAGCTAGAAATGCAGCAGCTGGGGCGGCAGCAGGGCTGGCAGCACACAGACTGGCAGCAGGGCCTGCAGCAGCTGGACACACAACTGCTGGGGCGACAGCAGCTGGGCTGGCAACAAGGCCTGCAGCAGCTAGAAATGCAGCAGCTGGGGCGGCAGCAGGGCTGGCAGCACACAGACTGGCAGCAGGGCCTGCAGCAGCTGGAAATGCAGCAGCTGGGCTGGCAGCAGCCCTCCTCAGAGCAGGTGGAGCCACAACAGGAGTTGACCATGGTGTCGAAAAATGGGGGTTCTAGGTGGGTATCCAAGAAGATGGGTTGGAAAGTTTAGAAGTCTGCCTGCCTAGGGTGTCCTTTTATACCCAGCTGAGGGTCTGCTATGACCTATAACATTCTTCCCTGTTGTTGTTCCTTGTTGTTGTTTGTATTAATAAATAGGTACTTATCCAATTAAGCAGGTTTGTTTTCCCTGTTAAGAAGTTAAGGTGGATGGAAAATATGACTTCCTTTTCCTGATGTGTTAAGATCTCTCATTCCTTACAGATCTACCTCCTAAGAGTCTTTCTCATTTCTGTTACAGAAATCTGTCACCTGGCATTCTACCTAGTACGTATGCTTTGATCTCATTTTGTCTAACACATCTTGTGAGGGACTCAACTACTTCTGGTGACCAGGAAGGATAAAGTTGCATTGGAGTCACATAGCTTATTCATCATGGGTCAGGTGGACAAGGAAGGTTTAAATGTGAGAGACCACAGGCATGAGGATAGAAAGCCCATTAGGACGTGACCCTATCCCTGCTGTGGATCATGAGCCATGTTTTATATTTCTTATGAGAAACACAAAGCAGTGAAATGTTGATATTTCATTTTCTTTCCTTTATACATAATATATACATATTTGTATGTAAAATATATTACATAAAATATATTTATATTCTTATCAAGCAAACTTGAGGGAATTGGGCTATAGAGCTCAAGTCTTATCAGGACAGGTGCATTCATGTCCTCTCTTTTTCCAAGATTTACCTGCCAATCCAAGTTTGATGATTTATATCTGTCTTCCCTTCTCTCTGTGGAAGTTGCTGAGCACAGAATTATTATTCAAGTCCTTATTCATATCCTCGCTTTTCAAACATGAAGACAACGGGAACGGAGCAATAGTAAAAAGAGAAGACTAATAGTAAATAGACACCAAAATGGAAGAATTTTGGCTCACGCTATTTACAATATAGATATAGTAAAGGGTTAAAGGGTATACTGTGGCTCACACCTATAATCCTAGCTACTCAGGAGGCTGAGAGCTGAGGATCCCAGTTCAAAGCCAGCTCAGGCAGGAAAGTCTGTGAGACTCTTATCTCCAATAAACCACCAGAAAACCAAAGTGGCACTGTGGCTCAAGTGGTAAAGTGCTCGCCTTAAGCTGAAGAGCTCAGGGATAGCACCAAGGCCCAGAGTTCAAACCCCATGACCAAAAACATAAAAAAAATAAAAATGTCCATCCAGTTGGCTAAATGATTGGCATTTCTAAATATGAAGAATGTTACCAGTCCATCAGTTTGTCTTCTGTGAGTCAAGAAACAAGCAGCGATTGGACCTTAAGAATGGGATGACATCATTAAATGTCTTAAGACAGTTTAAAGACCAAATACATCACAAACATCTGAAAAAAAAATCGACTAGAAGACAGGGAAAATGCAGGGGAGGTGAATAATTCACATTTCCACTGAATTCACTAGGTTAGCTCTTCAACACCCTCCATTTTCCCAGCCAAAAATAGATCATACAGAAGACTGTGGGTGACTACAGGGCATAGGAATTTTAATTGTTGGGAGGATAGAGATAGGAACAGATTCCCACCGTCTCTTGTATGGGATCTCCATGGAGCCTGAACTGGCAGATGAATCCCTTCAAATAGCCAGAGAAGAAGATGCAGAGGTAGACCCAGAACTTGTGGAATGGAGAGCACTTATAAATGCAAGTCACCTTTTCTCTGTCAAGGTGAATTCATCTTCTCTGTGTCACAATGTACTCCAAAAGATATGTTAGTCCTTCTGGACTACAAATATCATATTGACTCATAATTATGGTGGCATCAATTAGTCAAACCTGATTAACAAGGAGATGTAAATACTATGGGTACTGTACTTCAATAAGACATAGGTGCCCCAGCTGATAGGAAGTGCAGGTGACAATGGTTTACAGGGTTGTCACACTGATGCTGTGTTCAAAAGTCCAGCCTATCAAATACCCAACTGTCCCCCACTAATCCATACCTTGCCAGCCAAAGAGTCCCAAGTAAGGGACTCTCTATGAGGAGATCATACAGTTGCTTCTTTCTGACTGGAATTCATGTTCAGTTGGGTAAGAGTCTACTTTTCTCTCTGCAACTCCTTAGCACCATTATATTGAGGCTCCAGAAAACTTGAACTATCATCATGGTATCCTAAATAATTGCACCTGGGATCAAGAGAAAACGCAGCACAGGTTATTGTACCATAAGCACAGAACTGTTGGAACCGTTGCATTGCTACAACTCCATATTGCTCTAACCCAAACCCCTGAGAATGTGATACTTTCAACTTATAAGCTGTGGCTGAGGTCCCAGCTTACAGCCGATACCCTACAAGACCGGTTCCCTGTCCTCCAGAAGGCTGTATGTACTTTAAACCTGTGTCGGTAGTGTGAGGCTCTGTTCTCCATGATTAAAATTGCATTAACCTAGAAAAGCAAGATATCAAAAGATGAGACGCCTTCATCAACCTTGTCATCCCTTTTGGAAAAGAAAAATCATCCTTCCTCCACATAAATTTAGGTCCCATAGAAGTAGAAGTCTTTTGCTGAAGAGATGAGAATGCACAAGGCAACCCTGTAAGCGTTTCATGGGAATGAAAGTTATGTTTGTGACCTTAGCTCCCCGAGTTTCTCTCGCCACTGGGTAAGCAGGCAAGGTAGGTAAGGAGCTGTTCCAGGATAACTGACTTCATTGCTGACACTGCTGCCCAGTGAAGTTAGGGAGGAAGATACCTAGCATTAGAGAATCCACTGGGGATGTTCTGGTATCTTTAGTTCCACTTATACCTGGGAATGTGCATGCCATGTAACCACTACAGCCAGTGTGGATATAGTAACCTTGAGTTCAGAACTCTCAGTAAAAGACCCATATGACTCCACTAGGCAATTGTCCTAAATGACCAGAAAGCCTACCCAGTAACAGTTCGTATCTCTATACATTATGGCCATGGCCCGAATCATTTCCCAGGTGGCCAGGATGGACAGTACATATATCTAGTAAAGGACTTTTTACTTTAAAGGTCCTCATCACTAAGCTAGTGTGAGCACCACAGGCAGGTGGCTGATAGGTTCACTTAGTCAATTCCCTAGTTACTTGTTGTCAGGCACAGGTGTCACTTCCTCTAGAGATAGCTACCCTATATACATTTTTCCTTCCTGTGCTGGGAAGCCCACAGGTGCTCAGTCAGTGAAAAGGTCCAGACCACCACCACCACTACCCCTTATCCCCAGACAAAAACAGCTTTGGTCCTATTCGTTTTCTAGAGCTCACTGTTGGTCAAATGAAATAGAGTCTTGGAAACTGCATTTCTTCTCAGCTGTTTCTAATACTCATGTTTCTCTTTGTTTTGGTATTACAGAGCACTTCCTTATAAATGACCTGTACAAGAATCCCTTGCAGCTGGGTGCTGGTGGCTCATGCCTATAATAATCCTAGCTACTCAGGAGACTGAGATCTGAGGACTGTGGTTCAAAGCCAGCTGGCACAAAACGGTCTGTGAGACTCTTATCTCCAATTAACTACCAGAAGACTAGAAGTGGAGCTGTGGCTCAAAGTGGTAGAGCATTAGGCTTGAGTGAAAGAGCTCAGGGATAGTACCCAGGATCCAAGCCTCATGACCAACAAAAACCAACAAACAAACAAAAGAGAATCCCTTGCTCCAAGGGGCACAAATCCAACTTATTCTACACAAGTTAGCAGGCCAACCCCTTATTCTGAGTTTTCTGTTACACACACAGGTTTGTATCTCCTTCCACACAGCCTCCTATAGATCAGAGCACAATTTGTACACTCCTTTCCAGAGACTTCTCCACCAACAGCATTGTGGCATACTTTGTATAAACACTGTACCCTTTAGCCTGAGGCAGACGGTGTTGACCACTGACCTCAAACTCTAGATATATTCATATGCCAACACACATGTACACATAAACAAAAAAGACTGAAGACAATGAGTCTGGCAACAAACGTTCCAAAATCTGAAAGGGCATATAGTGAGATATTCTGAAGATTGAGAAGCCAATGGACAGCAAACCCTGGGGCTGACGGTTCACCATCCCAACCATCCACATTGCATTAGAAAATGTGTGACAGGGAAATGACACTAAGGTTGCAAATATGGTGACTTAGTCTGAGAGTCCTCTACAGAGACCCCACAAAAGGTTTGAGAGAGAGAGTACTTTCTTTCCTTAGGGAATGAGGCCGAGAAGACCTGTAGGGAAGCTGGAGAATGAACCAAGGTGGGAGGGGACTGGTACAGCGTGACACAATTCCCCTGAGAGGGCAGATGGAGTCTAATCTGACTGAGGACCTTCTGGTCAATGGAATGACACAGGTCTACAGAAGGAGGAGCGAGCTGGAGCAGCTCGCTTTCACCCAGCTCCCTTTCACCGATTGAACTGTGTGGCTAGGGGCTGAATCCTCATGCTCATTGCTTGGCCTTCACGTGATGAGATTGCTCAGCAAGAGAGGACCAGGTGCTGACACTGTGAAGCTGTCTTCCTGTATGGTGTGCTAAGAGACCAAGGCCTGATGCACCAAACCCTTGATTTTGGTCTTTTTTATCATTTAAGGATGTAAGGCAAACGCTAACAGGTATGAACAATAATTCCAGAAAGGAAAAAAAAACAGGAGACATTATGCCTTTATAACTGGAGGCATGTAAGACTCCGATTTATTTAAGATGGAGGAGTGACAGCATTTGAGAAAACACAACAGAGAACAAATATTCCCATGGGAGGAACATTCCGCTCACAGAAGGTCTCCATTGACAATGTTGGCTACTGAAGACCTGGAGGGTACAGGTTTGAGCCCTCAGCAGCAAGATCCACTACAGCAGCTGGGGCGGCAGCAGGGCCTGCAGCAGCTGGACACACAGCAGCTGGGCTGGCAACAAGGCCTGCAGCAGCTAGAGATGCAGCACTGGGGCCTGCAGCAGCTGGAGGTGCAGCACTGAGGCCTGCAGCAGCTGGAGATGCAGCACTGGGGCCTGCAGCAGCTAGAAATGCAGCACTGGGGCCTGCAGCAGCTGGTGGTGCAGCACTGGGGCCTGCAGCAGCTGGAGATGCAGCAGCTGGGGCGGCAACAGCTGGAGCCACAGCAGCTGGAGCTAGTACAGCTGGGGCGGCAGCAGCTGGGGCGGCAGCAGGGCTGGCAGCACACGGACTGGCAAGAAGGCCTGCAGCAGCTGGAGATGCAGCAGCTGGGGCGGCAGCAGCTGGGCTGGCAACAAGGCCTACAGCAGCTGGAGATGCAGCAGGTAGGGAGGCAGCAGCTGGGGCGACAGCAGGGCTGGCAGCACACAGACTGGCAGCAGGGCCTGCAGCAGCTGGACACACAGCAGCTGGGGCGGCAGCAGCTAGAGGTGCAGCACTGGGGCCTGCAGCAGCTGGGCTGGCAGCAGCCCTCCTCAGAGCAGGTGGAGCCACAACAAGAGTTGACCATGGTGTCGGAGGATGGAGGTTCTGAGTTAGTGTTCAAGGAGGTGTGGCTGGAACTCTCTGACCCTGATGCCCTTTTATACCCTGCTAAGGGTCAACTGTCATTACCTATGGCATTCTTTCCTTGTTGTTGTTTGTGTTAATAAATAGGTGCTTATCAAATTAGCCAAGTCTCTTTTCCTGGTTAAATTTTGAAGTCAAATGGACAGCATTTCCTTTTCCTGATGTTTTAGGATTTGTCATCTCTTAGGGAACCATCTCCTAAGTGAATTTCTTGGTTTTGTGCCCAAAGGAGAGCTGTCACATGGGCATTCTGTGCTGCTACATGTTTGCTTTAATTCTGTGCATTGAATATCCTTACTTAATCATTATCCATGTAGGCTTATAATTGTTTGTGGTGACCCAGGAGGAAAGCTGTATTTGAGTCTGATGGCTCATTCCTAATGGGTCAGGTGGGCATGGGAATTTGAAGGAGAAAGACCATGAGACTGGAAAGCCATTAGGACATGTGCCTTCCTCCTCTGTGAATCATGACTTTTTGTAGAAAGGCTGGAACTATGGAATGACTTTGTGGTGAAAAATTAACAATATACTATTGATGTCCTTAGTTTGTTCACCAGGAACAAACCTATAAAACTCATTTGGTGGAGGTGTGTTGCAGAACTCTCCTATCCCATAAAATTCAAGAACCTCAATTCTATACTACGGTTTCTTTTCCTCCTGTCTTTGGTATACTGTCTTTCTGGCTTTAACAGGCTAGACCAACTGGCTTTAACAGGCTAGACCAACTCATGACTCATGCCCTTTTTCCAAGATTTTTTTCTTTGCCAACTTAAGTTAGGTCACCTACTGTGGTTGTCTCCTATTCTAATTTCCACCTGGACTTCCTATTCTCTGTTGGGTTCCTGAATGCACTAAATTCTCATACTTCATCATTTAAGAAAGTAATTGCACCTTGCTCTGCTTTATAACATTTTGGGTGAAGAAAGAGAGATGGAAATCAGATATCTGGATTAAAAGAAATGCATCTCAAATGTATGAAGAAGGGACATAGTAAAGTATTCTAGGATGCACATATCTCCATTCAAGTTTCTATGTGATTAGTATTTCTAACTTTCACTCCATCAGTTGGTCCCCTGTGGCTCAAGAAATAGAGACTTGTAAGAATATGATGACATCACTGAATTTCTTAATTGAGATCATTTAAAAACCAAGCCCACTGCAATATTTCAATCCATTACCTTGTTCAGCAAGCAGTTGGCTTATATTCTATTCATAGTCTTGTGCTTGTTAATTTGGTGAACATAAAGGATTTAAACAACTTTATGTCCTAAGTGGGAATATTTATCACTTGAATTTGGTACATAACGTGGGCAAAAAAATATTAAGAAAGTTTCTCTATAAGTTTTTGAAGATTAAGAAATCTTAAGAATAGTAGGAGAAAAACAAAGGAGAGGGTAACAATGTTCAGCAAGAAATGTACTCATTACCTTACTTGTGTAACTGTAACCCCTCTGTACAGCATCTTTACAATAAAATAAAATTTTAAAAAAGAAATTCCTTTCTGGGGTTGGAGGCATGGTAAAGCACCAGCCAATAAATAAAAGTGTCAGATACTGAGTTTGATTCTTGATCGGGGGAGGGGGGTGAGAAAAAAGAAGTCATTTTTCTCACAGTAAAAAGCATAGTAACTTCTCATTTCAGCACAAGGTATAGACAATCACAACCCCTAAGCTGGCAATGGTCACAGCTGGCTGAACAGTAGACTCACCTGGGAAGAGTTAAAAACTATCAGTGCCTGGCTCCTGCCCAGAACAATTTTGATTCAACTGATCTAAGCAAGTCCTGAGCGTCACAAGTTTTTATAGTTCCTGATTGTATCAATGGCCGTAAGATTTTAAGGCCATTTCCCAATATTTCCATGGGACATGCATCTTCAATTGAGAGACAAAGTAATACATCATCAAATTTTAATTGACGGTATCTAAACAATTGAGAAAACAATCCTGAATTGACTCTTAACTTTAGGCACTGTAGACTGGAACACTGACAGTCCAGTTTACCCTTTTGGATCATTCTAATAGCAAAGCCAACCGATCCTTTATAGATAAAATTGGGCCGGTAGGGAATGAAGCAATAAGAGATTGCTGTAAGAAAGCACTTTGGCTTTTAAACGAGGAAAATGAAAACTAAGAGAGAAGGCACTCTGTTTCTTATTAAATCAAACCTGTGATCTAGCAACATAAACTCTAGAATAGAATATTAAAATCTAGGCTAGACACATTGATGGTGTGACAGCTATTTGAACTCTACCTCTTATAGAGTGGTTGTGGTACAATTTTTTTGTTGCGATTCTTTTTCCTCTTTTACACTTTTATTTTTTGTCTTTTTAGAATATCATGAGCAAACATTAAGGAAGTCAGATGGGAGTGGACACAATTACATTTGCATAGACCCAGCTAAGAAATGGCTATGTCTTCCAGTTAGCCTAAACACAGTGACACGGCATGCCAACATGAGCTTTCTTATCAGGTGTCACTTATTATTATGTTAGTGTGAGCTGCCATTCTTATAAATCCCAGCCATATAATATAAAATGAATTAGTATTATACTGTATTAGTTACAATATCACAATGTGAGCAGAGATACCTACAATACTCATGTCTGGCAGGAACTGTAACATGTTTTCAGTTCAATTATGTTACTTTATACTAAACAAAAACTAAGCTCCATTTCCATATCTGCAAATAGAAATTGAGCGGTGTTACCAGTTATGAATTACAGCAATATTTAAAGTAAATTGAATTTCTCCTTGTTCTTAAACTATCTCTAGTCATTGCTTAATCTAATATTGGTTTGTAAATCTTGATTTTCATTTCAATTCACCAAAATTCCTTAAAACTTTCTGTTATCATGTAAAAAAGCATATGGTAAAAAATAATAAGTATATATAGTATACATATGTAATATAATAGATATTAAGCAATTACCCAAAGCCCACATCTAAGAAGAAATTTTTTTCATCTGCATGTATTTTCTGGACCACATCTCCACTATTCCAACTTTTGTGGGGTTTCTTTCTCGTCCTAGGCCTTGAATTCTGGGCCTGGACATTATCCTTGAGCTCCTTTTGCTCAAGGCTAGCACTCTACCACTTGAGCTACAGCACCACTTCTGGATTTTTCTGTGATTAACAGGAGATAAGAGGCTCATGGGATCTCCTGCCCAGGCCAGCTTTGAATTGCAATCCTCAGATCTCAGCCTCCTGAGGAGCTAGAATTACAGGTGTGAGCCACTGACACATGGCCTCTTTTTTTTTTTAAATGGATATACTGAGGTTTGAATTCAGAACCTTATGCTTCCTCATCTTGATTGTTCAGCTAGATTTCTATCGTTTTGAGCCATGTTTTTAGACTAGGTCTTTGCTAGTTAATCTGGAGACGATCCTGTGAACATTTTATCCCAGATTGGCCTCAAACCTCAACCCTTGCTATTCTGCCTGGGATGGCCTCAAACTAAGACACTGCAGATTTCAGTCTCCTGAGTAGCTATAATTACAGATGCATGCCACCAGCACATGGCTATTATTCCTAGTGTAAAAGTAGTCCTTAAATTGCTTTTTTAAATGCCACCTTATACCACCTTGACACACATGTATAAACAACAGGTGGATCCTACAATACATGTGTGCATTTTATAAAAACAGAATTTCACTCTATGTATTTTGGGTCATTAGGTTTTTGCTATGCGTTGTGTACTAGCTGGGACAGGCAGCTTCTAGTGACCCCCAGATAGTTCCACTCTGGTATTCATGAGCTGCATAATTTCCTATGCTTAATAACTTACTCCCACCCAATAGAATGTGGCAGCATTTGGTGACAAAAGACTGTGACATCTCTACTGCTAGTCAACTCCTATCTTTCAGGCCACCTCTCCCTCTTTCACTGGCTCTGATGGATCTTACTATTGGGTAGGAGACATCCATGAGGCTAGAGTATGATATCTTCTACCCAGCCCAGGCGTTTGGTCAGTCAAAATTACCTAAGCAGGTTGCGTAGGAACTGTCTGTGGGCTGGATGTCTCTTGGTCTATGTAACTTGTCTGTTAAAGCCGTTTGCAAGAGCCATTTGCATGCTAAGAGTTCTGAACCCTAATGGTCTCCCATCCTGAAGCTATGGTGAATGTACAATGCAGGTGTACATTAAGAGGTACAACGTTTCCTCAGCTCACAGAGCTCACCTGCCCTACTACCTAGGCAATTGCCCTCACCTACAGGTGCCTGAATGTGTCTGGCCTCTCTGTAGCCTCTTCTCTTCCCTGGGTGGTCACAGATAGAGATAACTGAGTAGTGTAAAGACCTACTTTACCTCTAAGAGTGGGAGAGCTATTAGTCTTACTCAACTCTAGAGCATCCCAAGGTGTTCAAGTGGAATTCACTAAAACTGCATTTTGGCGTGGCTGCTTTTACTATTCTAAGTTGCTTCCTGTGCATTTCATTATTGTTATTACCCTTTCTCTCTGGTCCCAGTGTAAAGTTCTGTTCCAACTGAATCCAACTTAGTACAAACATCTTAGGATGGCAACCTAGTAAACTTCAATATTTCCTCTTCAAGATGTCCAGGTAGTAGCCCCTTAAATACAATCTCAGATGCCATGAGAATTGTTCCCTCATCCTAAGACAGTGATGTGAAAGAAAGCATTGCAGCCAAGTGCTGGTAGCTCACACCTGTAATTCTAGTTATTTGGGAGGCTGAGGTCTAAGGATCATAGTTCAAAGCCAGCCCAGTCAGGAAAGACCATGAAACTCTTATCTCTAACAAACTATTCAGAAAAGGCCAGAAGTAGTACTCTGACACAGTGGTAGAACACTAGCCTTGAGCAAAAAGAAGCTCAGAAACAGCACAAGGACCCCAAGTTCAAGCCCCAGGACTGGTTTGCATGCATGCATGCATGCACATGCACGCATACACACACACACACACACACACACGTGTTGAAGGGCAGTGACAGAGACTAGGAAAATAGTTACCCTAATCTGTGCTCCTCTAAGGTCTATTAGGCATGGAAGTATAAGTATTTTCTTTTTTTTTGGGGGGGGGGTCCAGTCATGGGTCCTGAACTCTGGGCCTGGGCTCTGTCCCTCAGCTCAAGGCTAGCGCTCTACCACTTGAGCCACAGCTCAAAACCACTTCCTGCTTTTTTTCTTTGTGCTTAAGTGGTGCTGAGGAATCAAACCCAGGACCTCAGGCATGCAAGGCAAGGGCTCTACCACTGAGCCACCTTCCCAGCGGCATGGGAGTATAAGAACAAAGAGTTTCTTTGGCAGATAATCTCTGAACACACTGCAGGGACTGTAGGAATGATTCTAAGTATGGAGGAAACCCTACAGAATGACAATGAATAGAACATCACTGCCAGCCACCGGAGGGTGTTTGCAATCAATGAGAAGCGAGTTACAGAAGACTTCCTCAGCTCCCTTTCATTGGCTGAAATCTATTCCTAGACACTTTACTATGCAGAGCTAGATCTTCAACTACAGAAAGTTCTCAGAAAGGACACTAAGATGTTCGCTTTCAGAAACCCTCTTCATCTTTAGAATGAGGACACCTGAGGAGAAATAGCTGACACACATAAAATTGCCTGCTACGGTCCTCTCCCTCTTTAGAGATGGACTGCCAAAAGAGTTGGCAGTTAAAGATATTCAAGAAGAAAAAACATGAGACATCATGCCTTTGTATTTGTATGTATGCAAAAGTCAGGTTTATTTAAGATGCAGGAATTACAGCATTTCAGAAAACAAATGTTCCCATGAGTGAGGGGGATGGGGAAAGGGGGACGTGAGAGTGGGCAGATTTCAGAGAAAATTCAAATTCTTGTGTGTTCTAGAGAGACATCATAACCTTAGCAGTGAAAAGGAAGTAGATTGACAGGCCCACATGAACCCCAGTGAGAGCTGTCCTCTGTGATCCAGCTTACTGGTGGTGTTCATCGAAATGTTGGCTGCTGAGGACCAGGAGGGTAAAGGTCAGAGTAATCAACAGCAAGATCCACTGCAGCAGCTGGGGCGGCAGCAGGGCTGGCAGCACACAGACTGACAGCAGGGGCGGCAGCAGGTGGACACACAGCTGCTGGGGCAGCAGCAGGGCTGGCAGCTGGGGCGGCAGCAACTAGAAATGCAGCAGCTGGGGCGGCAGCAGGGCTGGCAGCACACAGACTGGCAGCAGGGCCTGCAGCAGCTGGAGATGCAGCAGCTGGGGCGGCAGCAGCTGGGCTGGCAACAAGGCCTGCAGCAGCTGGGACGGCAGCAGCTCGAAATGCAGCAGCTGGGGCGGCAGCAGCTGGAGCCACAGCAGCTGGAGCTAGTACAGCAGGGGCGGCAGCAGCTGGAGCCACAGCAGCTGGAGCTAGTACAGCAGGTAGGGCGGCAGCACGTAGGGCGACAGCAGGGCTGGCAGCTCACAGACTGGCAGCAGGGCCTGCAGCAGCTGGAGATGCAGCAGGTGGGGTGGCAGCAGCTAGAGGTGCAGCACTGGGGCCTGCAGCAGCTGGGCTGGCAGCAGCCCTCCTCAGAGCAGGTGGAGCCACAACAAGAGTTGACCATGGTGTCGGAGGATGGGGATTCTGAGTTAGTGTTCAAGGAGGTGTGGCTGGAAAGTTTGGAAGTCTCTCTGGCCCTGATGCCCTTTTATACCCTGCTAAGGGTCAGCTGTCATTACCTATGGCATTCTTTCCTTGTTTTTGTTTGTGTTAACAAAACATGTAAGTGGCTATTAAATTAGACAAGATCGTTTTCCTGGTTGAATTTTTATACTGAATGGAAAACAGAATTTCCTTTTCCTGATGTGTTAGGATTCATCCATCAGCTCTTCCTGATACACCTTGCATGTATCATTCTTGCTCTTACATCTTTAAAGAGAGCTGTCTCATGATATTTATCTCTTGGGACTATATGTTTCACTTTGCATAATAAATCATGTCTGTCCTTGGGTAATAATGATTCTCATAGACCCATGGGTTTTTTTTTTTCTGGAGACCTAGAAAGATCATGCTGTCAGCCCATATTTCAGGGGTCTATCTCCCATGGTAAAGAAATTTTTGAATGTCAAACACAGACCATTGACATGAGAACAGAAAGACCACTGAAACAAGAACCCTCTACCCCCCCCCCGCCGTGCCACCATGTAATTTAGGAGCCATTTTTAGAATTTATCATGGCAAATACAGAACAATTTTCAGGAAGAATGCCAAGTCCTGAACTTTTGATGTTTCTTTTTCCTTGGACACAAACTTCCAAAACTCATTTTTAGGGCCTCTGGCAAAAATTGGCTGCCAAGTTCAGCTACACTATGATAGTTAGTTCTTTGATCGCTCTTGCTCTGTTGTACTTATTTTTCTTCTTTCTTTGACTTCTTGTCTTTCTACCTGCACCAGGTCCTAGCAACTCATCTCCTTTGCCTTGTGGATTGACTTGCCCACATCAAATTACTCTTTTACCCTAGCTCATATTGTGTTTTTCTCTCTTACTCTAGCTCATATTGTGTTTTGTTGCTTGGCTGGGATCTTTATATTCCCTATTCTTTTATTTGAATTGTTCATTAAAATTCACTCTCTAGTTCTTTGTTTTCCTTCGAACAAGAGACAGAAGATTGATCACAGAAAATAGATTTCTTGATCAATGGACATCTGCGTATGTGGGTGATTTGTTTTTCTTTTTAATTATTATTTTATTTTATTTGTGAAGATACTGGGGTGATTTGTTTTTCATTGTGAAATGTAGTAAGAGCTTAAAGGTTTAAAAAATGCCTAATTCAATGACTAGCTGAAAACTTGTCACAAAATGAGGAATGTCACCAGTCTACAAGTTGGAATGTATTTCTTAAAAACCTGGATTCACAACAACATAGAGATTTCACTTGTATTTGTTGTGGTTTCTCCACTTTCATCTCTGATTTTGAGTCATTTCCATTCTGCTTTTAGTAAGATTGGCTAAGGGTTTATCAAAGAACCAACTTTTTCTTTCATTGATTTTTTTGTATAGATTTTTAGTATCTATTTCATTGGTTTCTATCCTAACTTTTATTATTTCATTCCATCCACTTGTTTGGGGGTTTAGCTAGTTTTTGGTTTTCAAGGGATTTGAGGTTCATCATTAGTGTATTCATTTGAGACCTCTAATTCCAGTCAGAAGGACCATTATCAAGAATATGAGCCACAACACATGCTAGAGAGGATATTGGAGAAAATGGCCTCTATTAATACTGTTAGTGGGAATATAAATTAGTGTAACTATTATGGAAGTCAGCATGGAGACATCTTGAGGAATTAAAAATAGAACACCCTATGATCAAGCAATATTAAACTGGATACAAAACACAGTTTCCTTTTCCTGATATGTTAGGATTCATCCATCAGCTCTTCCTGAATCATCTCACATGTATCATTCTTGCTCTTGCATCTTCAAAGAGAATTGTCCCATGAAATTTTGTGTCGTGGGACTACATGCTTCAGTTTGCACAATAAATCATGTCTGCCCTTAGGTAATGATTCTCATAGACTCATGTTTGGGGGGGGGTATTTAATTGAAAGAATGTAAGTCAGACTATAATAGTGACACCTGCATGCCCATGTTCATTGCAGAACTATTTACAGTAGCCAGGTTATGGAAACAGCCCAGATGTCCTAAAACTAATGAATGGATCAAGAAAATATGGTGGTCTATACATTACATACACATACATATATCATTTTTATTCATCCAACAGAACTAATGAACAGATACTATTTGCAAAGAAATGAATGAATCTGCTAAATATTATATTGAGTGAATTGAGACAAAGGGCACATAGGTTCTTGAATATGTAGATGTTAGACCTAAAATATAAATATATGAGTATACACATACAGGTACGTGAGTGTATATTTATATATACACATATACATATATATACATGATCAAACTAAAATCCTGTATACATCATTGTGAAATTCCATAATATATCCCCTTTGAATAATTAATAAATACACAGTTTAACAAAATGAATACCAGGAAGCAGAAATATTTCGTATCTGGAGGAGATTGGGAGCTAATGGGAAGGGGATAATGAATAAAAAGAGGAATCATGGGTGAATACAATCATATTATTTGAGGTAAACACCTGAAAATGAGACTAGGATACTTTGTGATACTTTGGGGGATGGGATACATTGGGATCTCTGATCCAAGATGCATTGTACATATAAAACAGGCATGTTAAATTGAAAGAAAGAAAGAAATAGAAAGAGAGGGAAAGAGGAAAGGAGGAAGAAGGAAGAAACAAAGCAAGGAAGGAAACAAGGAAGAAAGGAAACAAGGAAGGAAGGAAAGAACTGGGTGTCATTGGTTCACACCTGTAATCCTATCCTCTCAGAAGGCTTCCATCTAAGAATTGCAGTTCAAAGAGTCTGGGCAACCAAATCCATGATATCCTTATCTCCAATTAACCAAATAACTAGCAAACAAAGATCCAGAGGTGGAGAATGGCTCAAGTAGTAGAGCCAAGCTGTGAGCAAAGAAATCAAGCAAAAAATGTGAGATCCTTAAATGCTGAAACAAGGATACAGGATGACCCATTGTAACAATGAAATGTACAAGACACCATATAGAAAACGAACTTTACAACTTGAGGGGGGAGGGGGGATTTGGGGTGGTGGAGGGGAGGGATAGTAGGGGAAAAACAAAGGAGTAGGTAACAATGCTCCATAGGAAATGTACTCATTACCTTACTCATGTAACTGTAACCCCTCTGTACACTATTTTTACAATAAAAAATTAAAAATGTGAGACCCCCAAAAAATGTGAGATCCCAAATTCAAGCCCATCTCAGCACCAAAAAAGACTCTAAAATAGAGGGGGGAAAGCCTGACTTTGTACCATGTTCATACATGTCACTTTTAGCTCTAGGGTTGTCTTGGGGGCAGTGATTCCTGCTCTCTGAGGACAGCTATTGACCTCTCATCTTTGGCATTCTTACTATAAAATATGTTCATCAAAATATTTGGAGATCACTGGCCAGGTGTGGTGTTCCACATCTGGACTCTCAGCCAGGCTAGTGACTTTTTTTTTTCCTGTGAAGAAGCATTTTAATTTGATATTATCCCATTAGTCAATCTTTGTTCTTAGTTGCTCAGCTTCACTTACAGAAGTCACTGCCAATGTGAATATGTTCTTTTTGGGAAGGAGGGTGCTATGAACTCTGGTATAGTTTGGATATTAACCACTAATCACATATTTTGTTTGCAGATATATTCTCCTATTCTGTAAGTTGTCTTTTATTTTGTTCTTATGTGTAGGAATTTCATAGTATATTCATACCTATTTTTTGGTTGCCTGTGCAAAATTTGGTCAGATCAAATGTGTTGCAGCTTTCAGTATTCTTTCTTACTTCTTTTTAATTTAACATTTAACTATAGAACACGGAGATTTTATATCCAAAATAATATTGTCAAGACCTGATATCATGACACTTTCTGCCTGTTTTCTTCTAGGAGTGTTGTAGGTTCAGATTTTGCGCTTAAGTCTTTCATCAACTTTGAATTGTTTTCAGTATAGTTTAAGGTAAGGTTCAACTTTTATTCTTATATACATATATATCCATTTCCCCTCCCCCTACCCAAAAAAATAGTGTCTTTGGGAGACTTTTATGTGATCTTGGCATTATGTGGTCTTGGCATCCTTGACAATAGTAGTTGACAGGATGTCTGTGGTTTATTTCTATGTTTTTCTCTGTCTTTTCAAGGCTTGTATGTTCTTGAAGCTAAAATAAGTCTTACGTAGGCAGTGTATCATTGGATTATGTTTTTTTATCTACTCAGCCTTAATCTCTCAATGACTTTTGTAGGTTGGTTGGTTGGTTGGCTTTAGCCTTGTTTGCCTATTTTTGTTTGTTGGTTTGTTTGAAGGCTCAGGCTATTTGAAACTCACCAAGTGGCCCAAGTTAGCCTCAGGCTCACAATCCTCCTGTCTGAGCCTCCAAAATGATAGGATTATGTGAGCCATAACTTTTTTCTTTGTCTGTCATGAGGCTTGAACCAAGGACTGGAAGCTATTCCTGAGCTCTTTTGCTCAAGGCTAGAACTCTACCACTTTGAGTCACAACTCTGTTTCTGGTATTCTGGTTGCTAATTGGAGATAAGAATCTCATGAACTTTCCTGCCCAGGCAAGCTTTGGACTGCAATCCTCAGATCTCAGCCTTCTGAGTAGCGAGGATTACAGGTGTGAGCCACCAGTGCCTGGGCTCAGCCATGACTTTTTAACTGCAGAATGTAAGATATTTACAGCCAAGGTAAGGTAATAGTGAGTAGGTCAGACATGTTCTAGCCATTTTACCACTGTCCTCAGTTTCTGAACAGAATTGCTTACCTGACTTCAATGTATTATTGGCATACAGCAAAAGCTATATACTAATACTATATTTTTGTATGCTGACTTCACTTCTTACTTCTTGATGGAATGTGTTTGTCAGTGCTAAAGGGTTTGTTGATGGTGTCAGTAGGGTTAACTCTACAGAATTTTGTCATCTGTAATCACATCATTTGAAAATGGGTAGTTTAATGTCCTCCTTTTTAATTCATATCCTTTTTGTTGCTCTTGCCTTATTGTTCTAGCTAAGAATTCAATCACTGTACTGAAAAGGAGTAGAGGGAGTGGGCAATCTTGTCTTGTTCCTGATCTTAGAGGAAATGCTCTTAAGTTTCCTTATATCTAATTTATTCAGAACTTTTATGATAAAAGATGTTGAGCTTTATCAAAGGGCCTTTGAGTAATATTATTAAGATGGTCATATGAGTTTTATCTTTGATTTTTTTAATATACTATATTACATTTATTGGCTTATTTATATTTAGCCTTGTAACCCTGAAATAAAAACACAACTTGATTGTGTGTATGAAAATACTTCTTTTTAAAGCCATTTGTTTCCTATTTTCACTATAAGACTAAATTCAATGGTAAGTACAAGTTTAATTTTTCAGTTTTAAGGCCTTCTGATATCATGTCCTCCTGTGTCATGAAGAAAAAGAGACAGAAATATAAACACACTACTTTATTAATAAGAAACAATTAATGAAAGGTAAGAACTCCCAGGGTCTGAGAATTAAAGCTTTATTGGGAAACTTCAAACAAATCCCTATCAAAATAGATGTCACAAAAAAACACACACACAGTGGTAAGAAAAAAAAATCAATAAGTGAAATATTTTAATGCTTTTGCTTTTTATTCAGAGTTAGGAATTCTCAAACAACTCTGCATAATTTGGCCCTAAATTCTGATTCACTAGTAAGAGTGTTTCTAATTTTTAAAAAGAAAGACTAAATAACAATACAGAAAACCGACTTTTCCAGATCACTTAATGTGTCTGAAGTTCATACTATTGCAAAGTCTACATTTTCTGCCAAAAAGAGGTTCTCTCTGTGATGGCTGAAGGATGAGGGTTAGACTGTCCACAGATCTAGATCAGCAGCAAGAACTACCACAGCCGCTGGGGCGGCAGCAGGGCTGGCAGCACACAGACTGGCAGCAGGGCCTGCAGCAGCTGGAGATGCAGCAGCTGGGGCGGCTGCAGGTGGTCTGACAGCAGGTGGGGCAGCAGCAGCTGGAGGTACAGCACTGGGGCCTGCAGCAGCTAGACACGCAGCAGCTGGGGCGGCAGCAGGGCTGGCAGCACACAGACTGGCAGCAGGGCTTACAGCAGCTGGAGATGCAGCAGCTAGGGCGGCAGCAGCTGGGGCGGCAGCAGCTAGAGGTACAGCATTGGGGCCTGCAGCAGCTGGACACGCAGCAGCTGGGGCAGCAGCAGCTGGGGCGGCAGCAGGGCTGGCAGCACACGGACTGGCAGCAGGGCTTACAGCAGCTGGATACACAGCAACTGGGCTGGCAACAGGTCTCCTGGCAGAGACCTTGGCCACAGTCTTGCTCAGAGCAGACAGAGCTACAAGAGTTGATCATGATGTTCAGGATGGCAGTTCTGAGTGGGTTTCCAAATGAGTATATTTCTTGAATCTGGAAATCTTCTTGCTCAAGGTCCCTTATATATGCCTGCTGAAGGAGCTCTTCCTTGTTATTGTTTATTCTAATAAGTAATTAATTGTTAAGTTAGGCAATTACGTTTTCCAAATTGAATGATAAACATTGCTCCTATTTCCTGATGAGTGACATTCATGCTGTTTATCCTTCCCGAATCACTTCTAGTTTTATTCCTTTCTGTGCTTCATTTTGGTTCCGATGCTGGTTGATTCCAATGTAAATGTATTGACTCTCGACTCCATCTGATCTTTCCTTCTGAGTCACCTCAGCATTCTCTCCTTGTGAGCATTATCTAGGTTTAAAACTCTCCAGCTTCTTCTATTGAGCAGTATTCATGTGAAGATTGACATAATATTGGACCCATCTTTGGGTCATGCCATGGCCACCGTTTTTGTTGCATTCCTATGTACCAGAGACTTAATTGTCCAATCAGATATAATGAAATCTAAAAAGTAAAGAATCCTAGCACTGGAAGGCAAGGTTTGATCTACCAGCATGGCTCATTGTAATTTAAATACTCAAGAGGACAAAATTAGGAAAAGGTCCAGGACATAGAAATTATTCTTACCCTATTGCCTGGTTCTTGGTTTTATTGACAGATTTCCTCTTTTTCAAAGGCGAACATATATTGGTTTGGAGACATGGTTCCAGTAGAACAATACCTCTCTAGCAATTGGTTAGCCCTATGTTTAAACCTCAATGCCACCAAAAGAAGATTTGCAAAAAAGAAAGAATGGCAAATGTAGATCATGGATGGACACCGATTTTTAGGAGTCACCATTGGAATTTGTAACTGCACCTATAGTATGGAAAAATTTATAGTTCTATTTAAAAACCAGAATCTACAGTGTAGCTTCAATTACTTTTAAGGTGAATAGGAAAATATCAAAGCAGTACTAAGGTATTAATTAATTGCTAATAGTAATTACATCCGGTCAGTGGGATCATGGCAGCTTTTAATTTTTATCTTTGAGGCTGAGCTGGGGCATCTCAGGCCAGCCTAATGTGCAGGTAGTAGCACCAGGTCAATTGTATGGTTGAGATAGCAAAAAATGAACTGGTAAACAACCATTGCCCTGAGTGCCCAGAGGGTCCTCCCTAATGCCACATCTCCGTGATCCAGCAGGGAATATATAACCAAGAACCATAAGGAAGAATCTTACCCTCATTTTGGAGTTAGGCCTCATACCCATTCTGACCAGCTTGTGAAGTTAAAATACTGGTTTCTAAATATTTTGAGTCTCCCTCCTGCCACAAAATGCTGATTCACAAACCCAAAAGACCACTGACATATTTCATGAGAGGGAATTCCACAAAGACAACGTTTTTCAACTATTTAGTGCATAGGAAAGCATTGCCTCACAAGAGGCAAATGGGGCTTCCTGTGAACTAGAAGGGAGGGCTGTGGAGTTTTAGGCAAGAGGGCTGTCTCCGAAGGTCTTTGAATGAGCCTAGACCTTCTTTCTTTTTTCTTTATTGCTTCTGTGGTAATTCCCATTTCAAGACTCTAAGCTGAGATGGCAAAATTGAGCGTAGAGCTGCAGCTCAGGGATGGATGCAGAGATGCATATAAGCCTACAGAAATGGAGAAGTTTGATCTGGGAGTTCATTCGGCGAGAAAACAGGGGACCTGAATGCATATATGGGCACTGTACCAGCCCTCTCTGACCAGTGCATTACAGCAGTAAGACCAGGTCTCCAACCTTTCCCTCAGAAGCGATCAGCATCTCATTGAGCTCTTCAATTTAACTTCAACCAGAAAGACTAGCTTTTAAATCACCTAGCATAGAGAATGGTAAGGAGACTCCATGTTTGCTAGCTTTCTGGAACAAAGAGATGGCTTTAACTATGCAGGCAAGCTATCCCTCCTTCAATTGACTAACTCCCAGCTCTTGTCTCAGATCATACAGAGGAAGCAATAATACCAAGTCCTGGAGGAATCTGACTGCACATTCTCCTAGCTGTAACCCAGAATCAGGCTTCTAGTATGCATCTAAGAATTGACAGCAGAGGTAATTAGTAAGACTTTCATCCCCTGCCCACCTCAATAAAACCAAGTCTCCATCTTCTCCTTGAAAGGAGTTGGACCACCCAGCAAGCACTCTTAACTTTTATAGCGCTCATCAAAGGGACTGCCTCTTAAATTCAAGAGTCCCCATGGACAACAGAGATCAAAGAAGCACTTTTCAACAGGCTTAGGTACATTGTCAATGGCTACTCCCTCTAGTTCAGTGTAGAGCTAGCAAGAAAACAAACAAACAAAAAAAAAACAAATTCCAGTTTCTCACTGAAAGGGCCTTACCTCCTGAATCTCCCAGGTGCTCCAGGTGCATCAGACATTTTATTACTCATTATTGTAGAACTGATGGACAATAATTGGAAGAACTTTGAGTTCCTAAAGAACAATAGATGAATGGTACTTCCTACAACACCCCCTCCCCAATACCAAGAACTAAAACTGGTCATGGTGAACAAATCAAAGTACTAAAAATAATATGATTTTTTAAAAAAATCTTTCCATTTCCTTGTGAATGGGGTAATGCCATTCTTTCTCATGGAAGCATAGAATTCCATTGGGTTTATATACCACATTTTCTTGATCCATTCATCTACTGAGGAGTATCTGGGTTGGTTCCATATCTTAGCTATGGTCAATAATGCTGCAATGAAAATCATATTGAGTGAAGTAAGCCAGACCCAAAGAAACATAGGCTCCATGGTTTCCCTCATTTATAATAATTAGTGTATGTCTAGGATGGTCCTAGAAGAGGATCACAATAGCTCAGCTGTGTACATATGACTATATAAGATGGTGTTAGGCAAAATGAGCTTCAAGATATGGAAACAAGAGGTTTTTCTTTGTTGTTGTTTTTAATGTATTATGTGAAGTTATTTATTTTTCTTATTTTTTTTCTTTTTTTCCCTATGGTTTATCCCTTGTTGTCACTGTATTTTATTTTGGTACCCTGGGTATTGTATATATGTTTATCTGGATGAGGGAAGGTAAGGAGAACAATAAAATAGTGAGACAAAGGACAAGGGTAGAACCAATGCAACAAGATAACATGTTAGCAATGAACTTCACAACTTGGCAGAGGCCACTGGGGAGGAGAGAAAGTAGGAGAAAAATGAGGAAGGGAGTAACAATGTTTGACAAGACTCATTACCTTATATATGTAACTATAACCCCTCTGCACATCATCTTGACAATAAAATTAAAATTTAAAAACAAAACAAATAAAAATAACTAAAACTAAATTATGATGTTTTATCTTAAAAAATAGGTTTTATTTGGCCATCAATAGCATGGATCATAGGAGGAGAAAATGTAAAAGCAGTAAGTAATGAATAATTGTCCCAACACTCAACATTCCCCAGGAATATATAATGCTCTTAGAGATGAATCATTCTCAGAAGGAAAGTGAGTTGCTGATTCCACAGTCTGCTAAGTTCCATATCCACAGGGTCAAGGGAGAAGGGCGGATTGGGGAGTGAAAATCCCCAGTGACTCATAACTGGGCTCACAACAGAAGACACGTGTTTACAAACATGAGCTTTAAGTTAGTCAGAAATGTTCTTGGAAAGCCTTTTGGAGAATTGTAAAGCTGGAGTCCTGTAAGCAATAAATGGTGCTTAAGAGCCTCCATTTCTACTTCAGAAACCGTAGACACTCCATGCTACTTGTCCTTTAAGACTTTGGTAACATTACCTTCTCCAGTAATCTCTTCCAACACTCAGCCTGTCACCCCATCTAGTATCATGGTACCATGCTTCTTTTATTTTATATTCTTGGAAGTGTTTCATCTTAGCTATTTTTCAGATACAATTAACAAATAAAATGTGTGTACTTAAGGTATTTTGATATAGGTCTACATTGTGAATTTTTTACACCAATCTGTATAATTAACAAATCTTTTGCCTCACATGATGACCCTTTTACAGAAGGAATATTTAAGGTGTACTGTTTTAGTAAATTTTGATTATACAATTCAATACCAATAACTGTGTTCTTATTGTTGTACATTAGATTTCCAAAACTTGTTCATCTTGTATAACTAAAATTCTTTGATGAACATTTTCCCCATTCCTGTTACTATTATTCCTCGCAGCTATCTGTATACTCTGTTTCCTTCAGTGAGTTTGAGTTTGACTCTTTTGGATTGAGTGTAAGTGATATCTTGTATAGAATCCTGTCTGGCTTATTTTATTTAACATATTGTTCCGTAGATTGCTCCACATTTTCACAAATGTCAGGATTTCCTTCTAAAGGATGAAGACTATTCCCTATATTTTGGATGTGTGTATCCTCACGTGAAGACTGAGGATATGATTGTTGTATTCCATTACCACTCCATTCATGTCTGAACATGTTATGCTTGTGATGCCTTTGTTTCCCTTTTATTCTCTTCCCAACTAAAAGACTTTGCCCAGAGTTAGTCTGCAGCTCTTAAATCTGCAGATATGACTTTACAATGGAAGAGAACTGCTTGAAAATTCACTGCGTGATTAGCACGTTGTAGAGGTAACTTCAGCCAGATCGTTTTGAATGAGTCCATGTGTCATAGTTAGACACACCTGCAAACCTTATGTTTGAAACTTCAATGGAGCATGACTGGATGGATGTCACTCATGTGTCAGGCACCATAAAAATAGAACTCACCCAGTATTTCCAACTTACCTTGCATCACTTATCTTCCCATAGCTGACATGTCTTATCCATTACACACACTGACTTTCCCGCTGCATCTGTGGCTTCAATCTGACATTCCAGAGCCCTTTCTCCTCAGAGGACCAACCACAGCAAGTCCCTATGAATTAATGAATGAATTAAGACTCTATGAATTAATCTTTACATCTAGCTTCTCCTAACCCTTGAAAGGATTGCAATGGTTTCTTGGTATCTTTTGAACAATAATTCTCCCATATGAACATTTAGAGCCAGGAAATGTAGCTCAGTAGTAGAGCATTTTACCTACTGTGTACAAGGCTCTGATTTTAATACCACCAAAAAAAATAGTACAGACATCACTAAGAGAAAGATTATAAGAATATGAACATTTAGCAGTCATTCAATCCTCTGATTTTACCTTGGCTTATGTTTTATGGGCTGTGTATACTCTCCTGAATTTTTAGACTTGATACATTTTATGTATGTGAACCAATTCATGGATATTGTTCTTCTTCCAGCAACACATTCCTCTTTTTTAGTAATATTCCAAACATACTATACCTGACATGTCTCCCTATTAAATCTAAGGTTGTAGAGTGAATCATCCATAAGTTCAATGGACATACCAGGTGATCCATCATCTTATCCACTAAATAAGAAAGCTATTGTTAGTTAATATGTCTTCTTTTCTCCCTCCCTTCCATCCACCTCTCTCTCCTTCCTTTCCTTCCTTCAGGTTTGAACTCAGTGCCCAAGCTTATTAGGAAAGCATTCTACTATTTTAGCTATACTTCCAGACTCTTTTGCTTTGCTTTAGGGTTTTGTTTTCAGATAAGATCTTAGGCCTTTTCCTGGGCTGGCCTCAGACCATGAGCCTCCTGCCTTCACTTCCCAAATAGCTAGGATTACAGATGAGTACCACCAGAGCTGGCTTTTTTCCCCCAATAAATCTTACTCACATTTTGCCTGGACTAGCCTCAAACCATGACTCCTATTTCTGACTCTCAAGAAGCTAAGGATTCTAGGTATGCATCACCACATCCAGCCCTTTCTTTGTTTTTATAATTGGCATATAAAAGCTGTATATATTTATAGGACATCACCTGATGTTTTGATACATGCTCCTCATACATATGTTCAAATCAGGGTAAGCATATTTACCTTCTCAAATAGTTATCACTTATTGATGTTGAAAACAGTCAACACCATTTCTTCTAGCTTTCTATATAAAATCTTATATAAGATTCTATATATTTCAAAGCAATACATAGACACCTTACTGTACAATGGAACACCATAACTTATTTCTGTCATTTAAGGGTAACTTTATTATAAGCCAACCTTACCCCTTACTCTCCCCAGCTTCTGGTAACCACTTTTCTACTTTTTTTTACTTCTATAAGATTAACTTTTTTAGATTCCACGTATGAGTGATGTCATGCAGAACTTTTTTCTCTCTGTGCCTGGCTGATTCCACTTAACATCACCTATTCTAGCTCCATCCATGGTACTACAAGTGACAGGATTTCATTCATTTTTGTGGATGACTTGTGTTCCATTATGCATTACAACATTTTGTTTATACACCCATCAGTTGGTGGATATTTAGTTTGATTCGGTTTCTCAGTTGATGCAAACTGGGCCATGATAAGCATAAGAATGTACTGGTAAAATCAACAGTCTAACAAAATCAGTATTCTAGCAAAATCAGCTTTTATCCTGGGTACAGAAACTTTTCTTCACCTTGAAATAAATAGCATGAGAAAAGAAACTGACCATCAAACAGAAAATAAAAAAAATAAAAGAAAATGCAAGAATTTCTGATGGCAAAGTAATATTTATTGAAGAATAATTAACACATAATTGAAAAGACAAAGAGGACAGTCATGGACTTGAGGGCTGAGAATGAGGGCATTGTGTATCTGTGGCCTGGCTGGGGACACTCATGGGACTGATGAGTGATGTTTAAATGTAGAGAGATGTCCTTCGGCACAGTTCTTCCTCGTGTAGCAGGATAAGAAAGCTGGTGACCATTCAACACAGGGAAAAGTTGCTGTGGGTGGCACTGTTGTAAGGATGACTGACTCTCGGGTTGGTCGTCAGATGGGAGGTTCAATGAGACCCACAACAGCCAATGGGACAGCAAGTTGTACGTTAGCAGGTGTTCTGGCAGCAGCTGGGGCGGCAGCAGGTGGTCTGGCAGCAGCTGGACACACCACAGCTGGGGCGGCAGCAGGTGGTCTGGCAGCAGACTGGGCGGCAGCAGCTGGACATACTGCAGCTGGGGCGGCAGCAGCTGGACACACCACAGCTGGGGCGGCAGCAGGTGGTCTGGCAGCAGCTGGACACACCACAGCTGGGGTGGCAGCAGGTGGTCTGGCAGCAGACTGGGCGGCAGCAGCTGGACACACTGCAGCTGGGGCGGCAGCAGCTGGACACACCACAGCTGGGGCGGCAGCAGGTGGTCTGGCAGCAGCTGGGGCGGCAGCAGCTGGACACACCACAGCTGGGGCGGCAGCAGGTGGTCTGGCAGCAGCTGGGGCGGCAGCAGCTGGACACACCGCAGCTGGGGCGGCAGCAGGTGGTCTGGCAGCAGACTGGGCGGCAACAGCTGGGGCGGCAGCAGGTGGTCTGGCAGCAGGTGGTCTGACAGCAGGTAGGACGACAGCAGCTAGAACCACCACAGCTGGGCTGGCAGCAGGTCTCCTGGCCACAGCCCTGCTCAGAGCAGGTGGAGCCACAACAGGAGTTGACCATGGTGTCTGGGGATGGAGGTTCTAGATAGGTTTCCAAGAGAGTGAGTTTCTCAGATGTGGGAGTCTCCTACACTGTGTCCACTTTTATACCCGGCTGGTCTCACTCTGCGAAGGGCTATTTCCTTGTTATTGTTTATTTAATAGAGAAACAATTACCAAATGAGTTAGTTGTGGAAGATTCTATATAAAGGTCAGGGAGTATGCATTTCTGCCTTAAGTTTATCAAACCCAGTGTTTTCTCCTGAGTCACCTTGGTCCACACTTCCTTATGTTTATCATCTAAAGTCAAGGACTCTTCATGTTGCTCCTCTGAGTGGTTGTCATGTGAAAGATCATATAAATTTCAACCTTCCATGTGTCAGTGTGAGGGCTTTGCAACTCATTCTTGTCCTCTACAACTCCATTCCTTGTTTTCTAGACTCTTTTAAGATCAACAGCAAATCATATGAAAGTACAGAACCAAACTTGGAAATTTTCTTGAAATATTTGAATCAGTATGATTTTTATAAGACAGGATAGTTAATAGTTAATAATTTTATAACAAAACTTAGGCCTGGCAATGGTGGCTTTCATCTATAAACCAAACTGATGTGATTGTGGTTCAAAGTCATCCAAGGCAAGAACATCCATGAGATTCTTATCTCCAATTAACCTGGAAGTGAAGGTGTGGCTCAGGTGGTAATGTGTCAGCCTAGAGAAAAAAAAGCCAAGGGACAGCACCCAGGTACTGAGTTCAAGCTCCAGTGCAATCAAGTCACGAAAGAAAAGGAAAGAAAAAGAAAGGCGAAAGGAAGAAAGGAAAAAAGAAAGAAAGAAAGAAAGAAAGAAAGAAAGAAAGAAAGAAAGAAAGAAAGAAAGAAAGAAAGAAAGAAAGAAAGAAAGAAAGAAAGGGCTAAGGAGGGGGAAGGAGGGGAAAAGAAGAAAATCTAAGTATCTATACATCTGACTGGCGAATTTTTGTAAATGAAGAAGCTAGATCTGGTAGTCTATACCTGTCATTCCAGCACTCCCAAGGCTGAAGCAAAAGGATTGAGAGTTTAGGATCACCAAGGGAGACTCTATCTTAAAAATATGTGAATGAAATCAAATAGCTTGAAGACATATTGTTAACAAATAATAAAAACTTTAACAGAAAATGAACTGATTTTCTGCATGCATGTACATCTGTTATAACCCAATAAAGAAAAAAATTGTCAACCACCAAAGGATATTCAATAAAGAGCTAGTCATTTCACTAAGAAAGAAAATTCAATGCTTCTTAAGCTTCTGAAAGATAGTCTCACTAAAAACGTTAAAAAAATGTTTAGTTGAATAATTTATTCCTTCTTCAACCACCTACTGTTTGCACTCTGGGAATATAAAGTGAAATAGTTGCAACTTTTAATGATAATTGTAAAATATTAAAGTTTTAAAACCTTAATAAATTAGTGCAGCTACAAGGAAGCATATTTTAATAGGTTTCAATATATACTTTGAAGGCTATTTCTTTTTGTGGCAGTGGGGTTTGAACTCAGGGTCTAGTGCTTGCTATGCAGGCTCAAGAATACCATCCATGCCTGCAGCCCACTGGCAATGGAAGATAGCATGGTGAATTAGCTTCAGGACCAGAACTCATTCATCTTATGCACATCCCAAGAACTTGCTGCTTCATCCTTATATTAAATGTAGTTAAAGAGAAGTTCTGATTGATTTAAGTAAGTTTTTTATTGTGAAAATACTGTATAGAAGGGTTACAGTTACATGAGCAAGGTAAAGAGTACATTTCTTGTCAAGCATAGTTGCCTCCTCCTTTGTTTTTCCCCTACCATCCCTTCCTTCCCACCTCCTCAACTATACCCACCATCCAGCCCCCAGAAGTTCTGCTTCTTGTCTCAAGAAACTCCAGGGCAGGTAAAGTAGGCAATCTGCTTTTGGAGAAATCTAATGCTTTCTCATTTTCTTTCACACAGGCTTTGATTCTTACATGCAAGTCATTTCCTTTGTTCACATTCAGAATCCCGGTCCCGATTTTATTTAAATGAATAAATTTAAATAAGTAAACAAATGTAAATAAACAATTTATAAATATTTTGTTGAAATACAAATACAAGTAATTATTAAGAACCACAAATGGTTATGATACAAGAGAGTAAGCATTTATTGGGACATAGTCATCCTATAACACATAATTCCTAGCCACAACCAACCCATGCTCAGCAGTGGTAAGACTAGGCACATGTTCCTATGAAGTAATGTGAGACATTTGGTCATCTGACTGAATGTCAAGGTAATAGACATAGAAGTTAGGAGTTCTGGGGTTTTATTGATTTAAATAGCTACTTTAAATAGCTGCTTGGTGGCTTGGCCACTGGGGGATAAATATACACAGTGATTGTAGGCACAAGGCCAGGGACAATAGACAAAGAAAATGAGAAAGGCGAACATACTGGCAGCACACAATGCTTATCAAAGGCTGGTGGTCAGGAAGTTCAACAGGGGAATCATGGAGGATGGGGGGCCAGCATTTAGCCTGGTATCAGCTGGGCTGGCAGCAGTGGGAAGTGGAGGCAGCTCTTCTTCTAGCAGAGGCTTTCGTCACAGCCTGGGTCAGACTAGGATCATGGGTTACATTTTAGATGGGTCTCCAATAACATGAGGTTCTGTGTTAGGCAGTTTTATCTTTGTTGTTACTAATTCCTGACAGAAACAATGTGTGAGAAGGAAAGATCGAGGGTGACTCAGCCTCAGACATGTCAGCCATGTAGGAGCAGTTCATATCAAGGCAGTCAGGAAGCAGAGAAGAGTGACAAGAGGAAGGGGCCAGGGAAAGATAGAGCAACCCTTCCCTCCCCCCCCAGAGAACATACCTCTAATAGCCTCCTTCTTCCAACCAAGGTCCCCTTCCACAGTATAACTACTACACTTCCTAAGTCTATTCAGGTTTTGGATCCAGAAATGGATTAAACCACTCATTAGTTCATTGTCTTCTCATCATCTCTAGAAATCCCCTCACAGACACTCAGGGGTGAGCATTGCTCATCTCCTAGGGGCCTGTCAATCTGACCAAGTGGTCTATCAAGATTGATCATCAAGTCAGGCACTGGTGGCTCACACCTGTAATCCTAGCTACTCAGGAGGCTGAGATCTGAGAATCTTAGTGCAAAGCCAGCCAAGGCAAGAAGTCCCCATGAGACTCTAATCTTCAACAAACCACTCCAAAATCAGAAGTGGGACTGTGCTTTATAGTGGCAGAATGCTAACCCTGAGTAAAAGAACTCAGGGACAGTGCCCAGGCCCTGAGTTCAAACCCAACAAGCCCCTCCTTCCACTACCAAAAAAGCAAGATTGGGGGCTGGGAAGGTGGCTCAGTGGTAGAGTGCTTGCTTTGTATGCATGAGGCCCTGGGTTTGATTCCTCAGCACCACATAAGCAAAAAGAAAAAAAAAGCCGGAAGTGGCGCTGTGGCTCAAGTGGTAGAGTGCTACCCTTGAGCTGAAGAGTTGAGAGACAGCACACAGGCCCAGAGTTCAGGCCCCACAACCGGACCCAAAAAAAACAAGATTGACCATCACAGTTCTGGAGTTACAAATGTCCTTTTCCAGTCAAATCTCCTTCTACACCTTGCTGAAAAGACACCATCGCTTCACTACATCAGAGATGTTTTTTTTCCTTACTATTGTTTATATTATTGAAAGAGAACTTACCAGATTTTCTGATCTTTTTGTTAAAACCTCTGTGGGTCATCTTCATTTACTTAACTCTTTATCCCTAAAGCTATCCAAATCCTTATAAATTTCTTCACCATCTCCTCCATTTCCTCCTGCACTCTTAGCTGCACCATTGATATTCTGAGCACAGGATGAGTCATTCATTGTGCCTTCCAATCATTTAACTTGCTGTTCCCAAATGAAAGAGAAGACATGAGTCCACTTAATTTGAATACAATTTAAAAATAGATGTAAATAGGTTAACATGGAAGAAGTCATACCTTGAGGTTTTACAGCAAAATGTTGGGTACTAAAATCAGCAAAGCACACTTGTAAAATTTAACAAAGTAAAAAGTATAACTGGGTTTAAGGTACGGGAGTTCAGCTTGTGTGTGTGTGTGTGTGTGTGTGTGTGTGTGTGTGTGTGTCTGTAACAAGGCTTGAACTCAGGGCTTGGGCATTGCTCCCTAGCTTTTCACTCAAGGCTGGAAATCTGCCACTTAAGCCATAGCTTTTTGGTGGTTTTTTTTCTTTGCTTTTTGGTGATTAATGAGAGACAAGAGTCTCACAGACTTTTCTGCCAAGACTGGCTTCACACTGCAATCCTCTGACCTTTGTCTTCCATTGAGATGAAGTGTCCATGGACTTTTCTGCTCAGGCTAGGCACCGAACCACGATCCTCCCAATCTCAGCTTTGCATGTAACTTGGGCTAACAAGTAAACATCACTGTGTCTAGCTATGGGTTGAGAAGTGATCTCTCAAACCTTCCCTGCCTAGGCTGATCTTAAACCACAGTCTGAGCCTTCCAAGTAGCTAGCAATTCAGGGATAAGCCACAGTACCAGGCTAAAAAAATTACATTATCCTATATCCTATGATTTTTGTTTTTTATTTTGTTGGTTTATTTTATACAGCAGTATATTTAACCCTAACTCTGGAGCTGAATATTCTATATATTCTCTCATTTTCATCTCAGAAGGCCTTTGCCCACAGGAGGCAAAGCCATTCACTTTCAGAGAAAAGAAAAATGAGGGGAAACAAAGGAGGACGCAACAGTGCTTGATAAGAAATGTAGTCATTACCTTGCTCATGGAATTGTAACCCCTCTGTACGGTATTCTCACAATAAAAAAAGAAAAAGAAAAGAAAAATGATTTTAAATGAAGTCCAATTCTCTAGTCTATTGTCTTCTGCAGAAATGATCCTCATTGCTTGCAGCAGGAAAATAAATCTGCTTCCAGGCTTGTACAATATGAGTGGTTTCCAAACCTTAATCTGATTTTAATTCAGCATCATGACTCATCAACATCACCCTCCCTACAGAAGTACTTCCCAAAGTAAGTAGCACCCAGAAAAACTATAAGAACACTTCTAACCCATCACCAGTCTAAACTGGACCTGTTAGGTGATCAAGTACTAAACATGTCTTCAAAGAAGGGGATTATCATTTCACTGACACACAGAATGATGACTGATTTCTCATTGCCGGAAAAGAGTCTAGGCTACTTAGTTGCCAATTAGGAAAGCAAACAAGGAAACTACTCAAAGGAAATGGACAGCATCTAGGAACTACTTCCTCCTTCAAGCAGTGGGTTGAGGAAATGAGCATAAACAAAAACATAACTTGTGCTTATTGGTCCAAATTCTGGAGCACCAAGTATAAAAAGGCACCATAGACCAAGCGACAACAGATTTCAGGGAAACTCACCTGGGAACAGAAGCCCATCCTCCACACCTGCTACCATGACCAACTGCTGCTCCCCTTGCTGCCAGCCCACCTGCTGCAGGACCACCTGCTGCAGAACCACCTGCTGGAGACCCACCTGCGTGACCAGCTGCTGCCAGCCCTGCTGCCAGCCCAGCTGCTGTGAGTCTAGCTGCTGCCAGCCTTGCTGCCAGCCCAGCTGCTGCCAGCTCTGCTGCCAGCCTCGCTGCTGTGAGTCTAGCTGCTGCCAGCCCTGCTGCCAGCCCAGCTGCGGCAGCTCCAGCTGCTGCCAGCCCTGCTGCCAGCCCAGCTGCTGTGAGTCTAGCTGCTGCCAGCCTTGCGGTCAGTCCAGTTGCTGCCAGCCAGTTTGCTCGGGACCTGTGTACTGCACAAGAACCTGCTACTACCCCACATGTGTCCGTGTGCCTGGTTGTCTGTCCCAGGGCTGTGGATCCAGCTGCTGCCAGCCCTGTAGCTGTTGATCAACTCATCACAGACCCACTACCTGCCTAGAATAACCTTCCACTCTCAGACCTGCCAAAAACCATGCCAGGCTCAGCACATTTTTTTCTCCTAATTGTATCCAACACTCATCAAACTGCCAATCTCCCTGTGAACAGATTTGTGAGTGTGCTCAGCAAGCTGATCTTTGTTTAGTTGCTACTTGGTGACACCAAGCAAGACCTGGATTCATGGTCTTCACCTGGAAAAACTGATTACTGTCTCTTTAAATTAAGATGGAAGAAAGATGGAAGGAAGGAAGGAAGGAAGGAATGAGAAGAAAGAAAAAGAGAGAGTGGGTGAGCGAGGGAGGGGGAAGGAATGCAAAGGAAAGGAAAGGGAATGAAACTAAAGGAAAAGGAAGTGAAGGGAAGGAAAGGAAAAGGAAGTGAAATGAAAGTAAAGGAAAGGAAAAGAAAATCTAAGTATCTATATATCTGACTGGGGATTTTTTGTAAATGAAGAAGCTAGGTCTGATAGTCTATACCTGTCATTCCAGCACTCCCAAGGCTGAAGCAAAAGGATTGAGAGTTTAGGATCACCAAGGGAGACTCTATCTTAAAATTATGTGAATGAAATCAAATACCTTGAAGACATATTGTTAACAAATAATAAAAACTTTAACAGAAAATGAACTGATTTCCTGCATGCATGGACATCTGTTATAACCCAATAAAGAAAAAAATTGTCAACCACCAAAGGATATTCAATAAAAAACTAAAGAAACTTTAATGCTTCTTCGGCTTCTGAAAGATAATCTCACTAAAACGTTAAAAAAATGTTTAGTTGAATAATTTATTCCTTCTTCAACCACCTACTGTTTGCACTCTGGGAATACAAAGTGAAATAGTTGCAACTTTTAATGATAATTGTAAAATATTAAAGTTTTAAAACCTTAATAAATTAGTGCAGCTACAAGGAAACATATTTTAATAGGTTTCAATATATACTTTGAAGGCTATTTCTTTTGGTGGCAGTGGGGTTTGAACTCAGGGTCTAGTGCTTGCTATGCAGGCTCAAGAATACCATCCATGCCTGCAGCCCACTGGCAATGGAAGATAGCATGGTGAATTAGCTTCAGGACCAGAACTCATTCATCTTATGCACATCCCAATAACTTGCTGCTTCATCATTATATCAAATGTAGTTAAAGAGTAGTTCTGGGTTTTTTTAAGTAAGTTTTTTATTGTGAAAATACTGTACAGAGGGGTTACAGTTACATGAGCAAGGTAATGAGTACATTTCTTATCAAGCATTGTAGCCTCCTCCTTTGTTTCCCCTTCCCATCACTTCCCATCCTCCCCCCTTCCCACCTCCCCAACCAATCCTCCCCGTTCCCCCTCTCTGCCCCCCCTCCCCACACCAAAGTTGTAAAGTTCATTGTTCGACATAATGACTTGTACATCTCATTGTTGCAATGGGTCCACCTGTATCCATATTTAAACAATTTGTTTTTCCCCTTCCCCTCCACAAATTATACCGACATCAAATACAGTGAAAGCAGGGGTTATACTGTGGGGCAGAAGTTCTGGTTCTTATCTCAAGAAACTCCAGGGCAGGTAAAGTAGGCAATCTGCTTTTGGAGAAATCTAATGCTTTCCCATTTTCTTTCACACAGGCTTTGATTCTTATATGCAAGTCATTTCCTTTGTTCACATTCAGAACCCCGGTCCCGATTTTATTTAAATGAATAAATTTAAATAAGTAAACAAATTTAAATAAACATTTTATAAATATTTTGTTGAAATACAAATACAAGTAATTATTGAGAACCACAAATGGTTATGATACATAGGCAACTGTTCCTATGAGGTAATGTGAGACATTTGGTCATCTGACTGAATGCCAAGGTAATAGACATAGAAGTTAGGGGTTCTGGGGTTTTATTGATTTAAATAGCTACTTTAAATAGCTGCTTGGTGGCTTGGCCACTGGGGGATAAATATACACAGTGATTGTAGGCACAAGGCCAGGGACAATAGACAAAGTAAATGAGAAAGGCGAACATACTGGCAGCACACAATGCTTATCAAAGGCTGGTGGTCAGGAAGTTCAACAGGGGAATCATGGAGGGTCAGCATTTAGCCTGGTATCAGCTGGGCTGGCAGCAGTAGGAAGTGGAGGCAGCTCTTCTTCTAGCAGAGGCTTTCGTCACAGCCTGGGTCAGACTAGGATCATGGGTTACATTTTAGATGGGTCTCCAATAACATGAGGTTCTGTGTTAGGCAGTTTTATCTTTGTTGTTACTAATTCCTGACAGAAACAATGTGTGAGAAGGAAAGATCGAGGGTGACTCAGCCTCAGACATGTCAGCCATGTAGGAGCAGTTCATATCAAGGCAGTCAGGAAGCAGAGAAGAGTGACAAGAGGAAGGGGCCAGGGAAAGATAGAGCAACCCTTCCCTCCCCCCCCAGAGAACATACCTCTAATAGCCTCCTTCTTCCAACCAAGGTCCCCTTCCACAGTATAACTACTACACTTCCTAAGTCTATTCAGGTTTTGGATCCAGAAATGGATTAAACCACTCATTAGTTCATTGTCTTCTCATCATCTCTAGAAATCCCCTCACAGACACTCAGGGGTGAGCATTGGTCATCTACTAGGGGCCTGTCAATCTGACCAAGTGGTCTATCAAGATTGACCATCAAGCCAGGCACTGGTGGCTCACACCTGTAATCCTAGCTACTCAGGAGGCTGAGATCTGAGAATCTTAGTGCAAAGCCAGCCAAGGCAAGAAGTCCCCATGAGACTCTAATCTTCAACAAACCACTCCAAAATCAAAAGTGGAACTGTGGCTTAAAGTGGTAGAATGCTAACCCTGAGTAAAAGAACTCAGGCACAATGCCCAGGTCCTGAGTTCAAACCCAACAACCCCCTCTTTCCACTGCCAAAAAAACAAGATTGACCATCACAGTTCTGGAGTTACAAATGTCCTTTTCCAGTCAAATCTCCTTTTACACCTTGCTGAAAAGACACCATCGCTTCACTACATCAGAGATGTTTTTTTTCCTTACTATTGTTTATATTATTGAAAGAGAACTTACCAGATTTTCTGATCTTTTTGTTAAAACCTCTGTGGGTCATCTTCATTTACTTAACTCTTTATCCCTAAAGGTATCCAAATCCTTATAAATTTCTTCACCATCTCCTCCATTTCCTCCTGCACTCTTAGCTGCACCATTGATATTCTGAGCACAGGATGAGTCATTCATTGTGCCTTCCAATCATTTAACTTGCTGTTCCCAAATGAAAGAGAAAACATGAGTCCATTTAATTTGAATACAATTTAAAAATAGATGTAAATAGGTTAACATGGAAGAAGTCATACCTTGAGGTTTTACAGCAAAATGTTGGGTAATAAAATCAGCAAAGCACACTTGTAAAGTTTAACAAAGTAAAAAGTATAACTGGGTTTAAGGTACGTGAGTTCAGCTTGTGTGTGTGTGTGTGTGTGTGTGTGTGTGTGTGTGTGTGTGTCTGTAACAAGGCTTGAACTCAGGGCTTGGGCATTGCTCCTTAGCTTTTCACTCAAGGCTGGAAATCTGCCACTTAAGCCATAGCTTTTTGGTGGTTTTTTTTCTTTGCTTTTTGGTGGTTAATGAGAGACAAGAGTCTCACAGACTTTCCCGCCCAGGCTGGCTTCACACTTCAATCCTCTGACCTTTGTCTTCCATTGAGATGAAGTGTCCATGGACTTTTCTGCTCAGGCTAGGCACCGAACCACGATCCTCCCAATCTCAGCTTTGCATGTAACTTGGGCTAACAAGTAAACATCACTGTGTCTAGCTATGGGTTGAGAAGTGATCTCTCAAACCTTCCCTGCCTAGGCTGATCTTAAACCACAGTCTGAGCCTTCCAAGTAGCTAGCAATTCAGGGATAAGCCACAGTACCAGGCTAAAAAAATTACATTATCCTATATCTTATGATTTTTGTTTTTTATTTTGTTGGTTTATTTTATACAGCAGTATATTTAACCCTAACTCTGGAGCTGAATATTCTATATATTCTCTCATTTTCATCTCAGAAGGCCTTTGCCCACAGGAGGCAAAGCCATTCACTTTCAGAGAAAAGAAAAATGAGGGGAAACAAAGGAGGATGCAACAGTGCTTGATAAGAAATGTAGTCATAACCTTGCTCATGGAATTATAACCCCTCTGTACGGTATTCTCACAATAAAAAAAGAAAAAGAAAAGAAAAATGATTTTAAATGAAGTTAGTAATTAACAGAGCAAGTCCAATTCTCTAGTTTATTGTCTTCTGCAGAAATGATCCTCATTGCTTGCAGTAGGAAAATAAATCTGCTTCCAGGCTTGTACAATATGAGTGGTTTCCAAACCTTAATCTGATTTTAATTCAGCATCATGACTCATCAACATCACCCTCCCTACAGAAGTACTTCCCAAAGTAAGTAGCACCCAGGAAAACTATAAGAACACTTCTAACCTATCACCAGTCTAAACTGGACCTGTTAGGTGATCAAGTACTAAACATGTCTTCAAAGAAGGGGATTATCATTTCACTGACACACAGAATGATGACTGATTTCTCATTGCCGGAAAAGAGTCTAGGCTACTTAGTTGCCAATTAGGAAAGCAAACAAGGAAACTACTCAAAGGAAATGGACAGCATCTAGGAACTACTTCCTCCTTCAAGCAGTGGGTTGAGGAAATGAGCATAAACAAAAACATAACTTGTGCTTATTGGTCCAAATTCTGGAGCACCAAGTATAAAAAGGCACCATAGACCAAGCGACAACAGATTTCAGGGAAACTCACCTGGGAACAGAAGCCCATCCTCCACACCTGCTACCATGACCAACTGCTGCTCCCCTTGCTGCCAGCCCACCTGCTGCAGGACCACCTGCTGCAGAACCACCTGCTGGAGACCCACCTGCGTGACCAGCTGCTGCCAGCCCTGCTGCCAGCCCAGCTGCGGCAGCACCAGCTGCTGCCAGCCCTGCTGCCAGCCCAGCTGCGGCAGCTCCAGCTGCTGCCAGCCCTGCTGCCAAACTACCTGCTGCACAACCCGCTTCAGACCCACCTGTGTGACCAGCTGCTGCAGCAGACCCAGCTGCCAGCCCTGCTGCTGTGTGTCTAGCTGCTGCCAGCCCTGCTGCCAGCCCAGCTGCTGTGAGTCTAGCTGCTGCCAGCCTTGCTGCCAGCCCAGCTGCTGTGAGTCTAGCTGCTGCCAGCCCCGTTGCTGTGAGTCTAGCTGCTGCCAGCCCTGCTGCCAGCCCAACTGCAGTGAGTCTAGCTGCTGCCAGCCCTGCTGCCAGCCTCGCTGCTGTGAGTCTAGCTGCTGCCAGCCTTGCAGCCAGCCCAGCTGCTGCCAGCCAGTTTGCTCGGGACCTGTGTACTGCACAAGAACCTGCTACTACCCCACATGTGTCCGTGTGCCTGGTTGTCTGTCCCAGGGCTGTGGATCCAGCTGCTGCCAGCCCTGTAGCTGTTGATCAACTCATCACAGACCCACTACCTGCCTAGAATAACCTTCCACTCTCAGACCTGCCAAAAACCATGCCAGGCTCAGCACATTTTTTTCTCCTAATTGTATCCAACACTCATCAAACTGCCAATCTCCCTGTGAACAGATTTGTGAGTGTGCTCAGCAAGCTGATCTTTGTTTAGTTGCTACTTGGTGACACCAAGCAAGACCTGGATTCATGGTCTTCACCTGGAAAAACTGATTACTGTCTCTTTAAATTAAGATGGAAGAAAGATGGAAGGAAGGAAGGAAGGAAGGAATGAGAAGAAAGAAAAAGAGAGAGTGGGTGAGCGAGGGAGGGGGAAGGAATGCAAAGGAAAGGAAAGGGAATGAAACTAAAGGAAAAGGAAGTGAAGGGAAGGAAAGGAAAAGGAAGTGAAATGAAAGTAAAGGAAAGGAAAAGAAAATCTAAGTATCTATATATCTGACTGGGGATTTTTTGTAAATGAAGAAGCTAGGTCTGATAGTCTATACCTGTCATTCCAGCACTCCCAAGGCTGAAGCAAAAGGATTGAGAGTTTAGGATCACCAAGGGAGACTCTATCTTAAAATTATGTGAATGAAATCAAATACCTTGAAGACATATTGTTAACAAATAATAAAAACTTTAACAGAAAATGAACTGATTTCCTGCATGCATGGACATCTGTTATAACCCAATAAAGAAAAAAATTGTCAACCACCAAAGGATATTCAATAAAAAACTAAAGAAACTTTAATGCTTCTTCGGCTTCTGAAAGATAATCTCACTAAAACGTTAAAAAAATGTTTAGTTGAATAATTTATTCCTTCTTCAACCACCTACTGTTTGCACTCTGGGAATACAAAGTGAAATAGTTGCAACTTTTAATGATAATTGTAAAATATTAAAGTTTTAAAACCTTAATAAATTAGTGCAGCTACAAGGAAACATATTTTAATAGGTTTCAATATATACTTTGAAGGCTATTTCTTTT